ATATTTTTCAAGGTTCAAAAATCTTGAGTTTATAAACTGGTATGCAATATATTAATATACTTGTTTCTGTTTATTATTATTGAATACTAATTTTTTTTTTTCTACATAGTATTTTGAAAAAAAAAAATAATAATAATAGCTTTTTACTTTCAATTATTATGTCTACTTCGGATATTACATCTATTGCTTCCTCGGGTATTACATTTACTTTTTTCCCAGATGGTGTGCCTGTTTTCTTCTTGAATATTGCACCTATATTTTTCTTGGATATTTTATCTTCTAATTCTGAATATTATGTTTACAGTATTTTCACCTTTTGTGAATATTGTCTCTTCGGTAATTACACCACCATTAGACCTTACTCTAGACGAAAACAGAATCTCTTTTTTGATATTAACAGTTTATTAGAAATTCTAACAGATAATTTTAATAACAATTGGTGGCCACTAATAACAAATATTTGGACTCAATGGGATTCATATAAGCTTGTAAATGGTGATATGTGGAAGGTTTATGCCTGCCGTTTTATAAAGTACCAGGTATCTAGTACCAAAGAGAAAGAAAACATCTCTAATAAAAAATGCAGAATAACAAAAATACGCCATCTGGTCTTTGCAATGTGAAAATCAAAGTTACCTGGTTAGCTTTTTCAAGTGTAGTTCGAATAGAACATTATAAAAATTCTCTGAACTATACATATTCTTTAATGAAAATCGATAGAATAAAATGACCAAAGACTGTAAAAATACTGGTTGAACAAGAAGCAATTAAAAATTATTCACCACCAGCAATTACAGCTATCATAAAAGAATATGTAATGGTAGAGCTAGGGTTTGGTAAATGTGTGTGTAAGTTAAAGCGCAAAGAAGTAACGAATATTAAATATAAAGTCTGTGGGCCTATAAAAATCCATCTTATTGGCAATTCAAATTTAAAATTAGATATTTTAGAAGTTAAATTCTATTTAATAGAACAAGAGTATCTTGCTGAAAGTTATATTATATCCCAGCGGTCTACTAAAGGTATCGTATTCGCACATCCAGAGCAACTAAAAAAACTTAAACATTACGGGTGGTTGACGTTAATAGACTCAACTTACAAAACCAACCGATATGATTGGCATCTGTTTACTTTTTATATCCGTGATACTTATAGATGTTGGAATGTTAGTGCTCACTTTTTTGTTAGCAGTGAGAATAGTGATACTGTTGCAAAAGCATTATTAATTATTTGTAATAAGTATTATCCCTTAAACCGTCCAGATAAGCAGGCAAATTTGCCTACTTAAATTTTATAAATTCATATCTGATCTATTTTTTTTAAAAATAAAAATATTTTATAATTTTTTTTTTTAAATAAAAACTATGATTATATACTATTT